TTTCATATACAGAGATAAACAAAAGCATATGTGAGGGCAGACTGCCTCTGTTGTTAATGTTTAGAAGTTTCTGTTGCTGTCCTCTCCCACCCCAAGCTCCGATCTACCCTTATTTATATCACTAAAATTGTGATACTGGATTTTATTTTTTATTTAAATTATTATTTTATTTAAATTATTATATTTATAAAGTTCTGGTCACACACCGTAGTGAGATCCACACATGGATCTCGAACCCCATAAACCCAGCACCAACAAGGCCTAAGCTACATTATTTTGTTTTTTTCTTTCGAGTGGCTTGTATTCATAAGAGACGGGGGAGATATTACTCTGGGCGTATAGAGTACATTTAGTAAAAAAAACTTGTCTTCTGGCTTGTAATATACAGTAGTTTTACCAATACTGAAGGTGATAGTGATGGTGGTAGCTGACGTAGGTACTGCCTGTCATATACTGTACAGGGCCACATCGAGTATTACTCTAGGCGTATTTATTAAAAAGCTAGTACTGTGGCCAATAATATACAGTATTTTTACCAGTGATGGCAGGTGATAGTGGTGGTAACAAGTGGTAGTTGTGGCAGGTGATAAAGGTAGTGGCTGTCATATATGTACAACTATTGTAGTGGCTCACATCAGCTTTAATAAATATCTCCAGATCAACAAGCAAAAGCAACTTCAGTGTAAGGAATTGAAAACTATTATTTTACGTTATTAACGTGTTCCCTCTGGTTCTTGTCCTCCAATGTCATCAGGTGAAATTCCGCTGGCCTCGCCTCGTAGGTCATGCCCTTTACTTCAGATACAAGCCTTGTTGCATACTTCTGCACTTTCTCCAGATTTCTAATATTCCTTTTCAGAAGCGGGTTCCATACTGGTGCGGCATACTCCAAGATGGGCTTAATGTATGATATACAATGTATCCGGAATTACTCCGTTGAGACTCCTGAAGGCTACTCATAGATTTGCCACACAACCACTGACTGAAGAGGTTATTCGGCTGTGAACCTCTGCTATTATACTGGACACTATGCTCACCCCTGGGTCCTTCTCTGTCCCCCTAGTCTATACCTCATTTCTGGTCTTCTTGTTCCTTGCCCAATCTTCATGACGTTGCATATAATTCAGTTAAATTCAAGCAACTACTTAACTGACCACTCTTGCAATTTGCCCAGATCCCTTCGGAGCCTTTCCTTGTCATTATCTGTTTTTATTCTCCTCAGCTGTATATCAGCAAACTAAGATGTATCTGAATCAATCCCATCTGGAATGCCATTCGCATAAACCAGAAACAGTGCTGGTCCTAATACCAATTCAGCAGAACCCCACTAGTTACTCTTCCCCATTCTGACGTCTCTTTCCTGTCAGTCACTCTTGGCTCCCTTTCCCCCAAGACATTTTTTGATCCAACATAGTACGTTCCCTGTTATTCCAGCTTAAATCTCAAGTTTTTGGCCCTGATCTTTGTAGGGTAGAGTGTCACACGCCTTCTGCGCTTCTTGTCACATGTTATTTTGTCATAGAACTCCAACAAGAAAGTAAGACAAGATTTGTCATCTCTAAACCCATGCTAGTTATTGTTTACGAAAGCACTTCTCTCCAAGAGTTCTCCCACTCTCCCTCTGATAAAGTCCTCAATTACGTGGCAAGGTATGCATGTCAGAGAAACTGGTCTGTAGCTTAATTAACGCCTCCTGTCTGTCTCCTTTCTTATAGGGGCTACATTTGCTGTCTTCCAGATCTCTGGTAACTGCTCCGTATCCACTGGCTTATTTTTAGACACTGTTTCCGCACTCTCTTGCAGAATCCATGGTGACATATTATCAGGTTCCATTGCCTTTGATATATCCAGGTCAATCAAAGGTTTCTTTACCTCTTTCCCTTGTGGCCTTGTTTAATTATTTTTTTTTTAACTTCTCATGCTTCGCTGATTTTCATATTTTATCGTGTTTTCAATGACTTATGATTTATATTTTGTGATGTCATGTACTGTTATTAAATCCTGGTGCTGACGATTGATTTATTACCGAATCACTGATATACACCTGGAGTATACCTGGAGAGGGTTCCGGGGGTCAATGCCCCCGCGGTTCGGTCTGAGACCAAGCCTCGTGGTGGATCAAGGTCTGATCAACCAGGCTGTTACTGCTGGTCGCAAGCAAACTGACGTACAAACTACAACCCGGTTGGTCAGGTACTGACTTTAGGTGCCTGTCCAGTGCCTTCTTGAAGACAGCCAGGGGTCTACTGGTAATCCCCCTTATGTATGCCGGGAGGCAGTTGAACAGTCTTGGGCCCCTGACACTCAGTGTACTCGTGGCGCCCCTGCTTTTCATTGAGGTAATGTTGCATCTTCTGCCGAGTCTTTTGCTTTCATAGGGAGCGATTTTCGTGTGCAAGTTTGGTACTAATCCCTCTAGGATTTTCCAAGTGTATATTATCATGTATCTCTCTCGCCTGCATTCCAGGGAATACAAATCAAGGACCTTCAACCGTTCCCAGTAATTTAGGTGCCCTATCGAACTTACATGTGCCGTGAAATTTCTTTGTACACTCTCCAGGTCAGCAATTTCGCCTGCCTTGAAGGGGGCAGTTAGTGTACAGCAGTATTCCAGCCTAGAGAGAACGAGCGATTTGAAGAGAATCATCATAGGCTTGGCGTCCCTAGTTCTGAAGGTTCTCCTTATCCATCCTATCATTTTCCTAGCAGATGCGTTATGTACATTGTTGTGGTCTATGAAGGCCTCTGGCATTATCACTCCCAGGTCCTTCACAATGTTTTCTCGCTCTATTGTATGGATAGAATTTGTTGTGTACCCTGTTACAGTTTTAATTTCCTCAAGTTTTCCAAATCTAAGTAGTTGAAATTTCTCTTCATTGAACTTCCTTTTGTTTTGAGTGACCCATTTGAAGATTTGGTTGATGTTCGCTTGGAGTCTTGCAGTGTCTTCGGTGGAGGTCACTGTCATGGCAACTCGGGTGTCATCCGCAAAGGAAGACAGGGAGCTACGGCTTACATTTCTGTCTGTCAGACATGAGGATGAGGAATAGGATGGGAGTGAGTACTGTGCCTTGTGGAACAGTGCTTTTCACTGTAGCTGTCTCGGACTTTACTGTTTACTATTACTCTTTGTGTTCTGTTTATCAGGAAATTATCGATCCATCTACCAACTTTTCCTGTCATTCCTTACTCCCGCATTTTGTGCGCTATTACACGGTGGTCACACTTGTCGAAGGCTTTTGCAAAGTCTGTGTATACTACATCTACATTTTGTTTATCCTCAATAGTATTCAGGACCTTGTCATAGTAGTCCATTAGCTGGGACAAGCAGGAGCGACCTGCTCTAAACTCGTGTTGCCCTGGGTTGTGTAACTGATGGGTATCTAGGTGGTTCAAAATCTTGCTTCTTAGAACCCTCTCAAAGATTTTTATATGGGATGTTTGTACTACCCGGTCTGTAGTTCTTTGCAATTGCTTTATTGCCACCTTTGTAAAGGGGGCTATATCTGTTGTTTTTAGTGAGTGTGGGACGACCCCTGTGTCCATGCTCCCTCTCCACAGAATGCTGAAGGCACGTCACAAAGACTTCTTGTTGTTCCTGATGAACACGGAGTTCCATGAGGCTGGGCCAGGGTGCATGGGCATGTCATTTATTGCCTTTTCAAAGTCTTGTGGTGTTAGGACAATATCAGAGATTTTGAGATGACCAAATTTCTGGGTCTCGTTCAAAAAGAATTCATTTGGACTGTCGACCCTTAGTCTGGGTAACAGCTCACTGAACACTAAGTTGTATTGAGGCTTTAATATCTCACTATATTTCTTGACTGTCATCTGTGTATGTCCCATCTCGCCTAAGCAGGGGCCCAATACTGGATGTTATTTTTCCCTTAGATTTGGCATAATCGAAGAAGTATTTTTTTTTTTTTCAATTTCCTTTATGGCTTTTAATTCTTCCTGCGATTCTTGTCTCCTGTAAAGTTCCTTTATCTTAATTATGATATTTGCTATTTCATTGACCAGTGCCTCCCTTCGTATTTCAGATATAATGGCCCATCTCAGCAACTCTGTGATTCTTCGTCTTCGTCTGTATATGAAGCGTTTCTTTCTCTTTCAAGTTTACATCTTCTCTTTCTTTTTCTTAATGGAATGTGCCTTGAGCAGATCTCAAGAACCACAGAGTTATTTTTTTCTAAGCAAAGGTTCGGATCCGTGTTGTTTATGATACTTTCCCAGTTTGTTTCACTTAGGACATGGTTGACTTGTTCCCACTGTATGTTTTTGTTATTGACGTTGAATTTTGTGAAGGCATCATCATGACTGATCACATTTTGCTGGTCAGGAGCCCTGTTCATACATGTCTGTACTCTGTTATGTCCTGATCTGAATGTATTGTCTTTGATACAGTTATACTACGTATCAGATCGTCGTTGTTAGTGAAGATGAGGTCCAGCGTATTTTCTAGTCTCAGGCTCAAATATTTGCTGGTTTAAGGTGAATTTTGTGCAGAGGTTTAATATCTCGTGCGTGCGTGAATTTTCATTTGAGTTGCCTCCTAGGGTGATCTCTGCTAACATGTTATTTGCTACACTCCTCCATTTTAGGTGTCTCAAGTTGAAATCTCCCAGTAGCAAGATGTTTGGGGCTGGAGTTGGGAGATTTTTTCCAGACACTTCAATAAATGTTCTAAGATTTCTAGTATTATATAATATATATATATATATATATATATAAAAATATATATATATATATATATTATAAAATTATATATATATAATATATATAGAAGAGAGAGAGAGAGAGAGAGAGAGAGAGAGAGAGAGAGAAAATTAAGCATATGCAATATAAGGGAGAGAATGAAATCAAATTTGATACCTGGAAATAAGGTAGAATAAAACTGACATTCAAGATAAAAATAACACACGTTCAAAAATAAAGTTGTTAGTAAAAAATCCACCACCAGTTTTGTGTTAGACAAACAGCTAACAAACAGAAACACAAACTTTTTTCCAAATGAAGGTTATCATAGAGTTCAGGAGGCGAGTGAGAGGCTGCCCGGAGGGTGACCTGCTGCTGCCTCCTCACTTGATCGTACCCTTGTTGTTCTATAATGCCATTTTCTGTTTTATTCCCATTTCCATTCATTTCTTTCTCTACTGTTTCACGTGAGTTATGTTTGCACTTGCAAAATATGCTATTTTCAACTTGTCCACTGTCTTCTGCAAGGAAATATTATTTTATGCAGAGATGGTAGAAAAGCACGCAAAATATATCATGCTTATGGTGCTAAAACGTACCATAAGCAAGAAAAACACAGCAAGCATTCGTCTTTTTTTATGGCGGTGGGAAAAAAAGGAAGTTACATTTTTGGCATTATTTTTTTCCAGTTAGTCAACTTTCAAGGAAACTATAAGGTTCAAAATACAAATAAAATGATAAAAGCAGTGAAAACATGGTTTACATAAAGCCATTTTATTACTAAACTTATGTACAGGACATATGGTGTAAAACTTCTGCTTAAGCAAAATATTAGGTGAACAGTAATTATACACAGGTTTATATGAATGTGCAGAGGGATATTACATTCTACAGTATATAACTGGAACACTGATCAAAAAAAGATAGAGACAATCTAGATATATAGAATGACATGGAACAAGTGCAAAAGATTGGATCATTATCATAATGTTATGGTAGTCAGCACCTGTACTTCTAGCTACACACAATAATATGAAATTATCGACCTCTTTCCTCGGGCACAAACATTTAATGATGTTCCAAGCCAGTGAAATTTTCTTTATATTTAAATTGGGTATTCAGATGAGAGCCTCTAAAATTATGACTGTATGACCCGTTTTAAAATACACTGAAGGTGATAATAACGAAGATTGGGATGAACACTTAACATCAAAATGACTAAAGACTGCAGGATATGACACAAAGGTTTTCATCGTCTTACAACTAGACATTAATACCATTACCTTATTTTACTAAGGTAAGAACCCAAGTTTTAACTCTGTTCACTGTTTTTGTGGATAAGTTAAGTTCTTAGGCTGGCTAACACTGAGTAAGGGGGGGGGACTTGGCCATTACTAAGGAATAAACGACTGGCATAAACAATTGTGTAGTAATATAAATTCCGATTTCCAAGCATTAGTTTACTAATCTGACTGATGGCAGGGGGAGAAAAAATCGGGAAGCGCTGTAAAAATTTCTTGAAGCGAGAAAATAAGTTACTGAAGAGAATCTTTCCTTTCAGAAGCATGATGAAGGGACGCTTGAGGAAGCCAAATGTGGGAAGGAAGTAACTCCTGTTGGATACGAAGTCATCTCCAAGTTTTCTTAAATACTGAGTCAACGGGACACCTTGAAATTAAGCTAAAACGTGTCAAAGAACTTCGGCGTGATCTCTGATTGCTTCCACCGGATTGGGTTATGTTTCTATAAACGCCGTCATAAACGCTAATGCGCGAAATTTTTTTCATTCTCTTAAGGGAGGAACAAAGCCTTTGCGTGCTCACTGCACACTTCAGAATTTTAATGTTCATAAAAAAAAACTGTACTCTCCGACTCACATAATTACATCAGTAAACTAGAGTCTGTAGA